CAACTCCAGTGCACTCTGGCAACACTACACGTATTCCTTTGGATTTCTGTGTGACTGAACTGTTGAAGTGGGCACCGGAAAACTGTCATCCTCATACACTAGATAGATTATGGAAAGCTTGCACGAATGATTGGTTTAATTTGAACATGACAGCCTTGCGACAAAAACTTTTGCAATGGAAACTACGCTACAGGGTTACTGTCAAGATGCACGGTCATGACAGTATGTAGTTGGGTTTCAAAACGACATACTTATTATCTGTATTATATAAAAACAATTGAAGTGAGCACCTGATTAAAACAGCCAAACATCACCTAACTCGGTAGTTGTACAAGCATAACAACAATTATTGTGTTCTACAAAAAAGGTTTATGAAGGTTAAAAATCTATTAATGCGCCACTATTTTGATTCAAAATCAGTTTTTCTTTAGAATATTTCAGGAGTGCTTCTGCATATCAACAGCTAGCTGGACACAGCAGAGTGAGAGTAACGGGCTTGTAACAAAAGAATCTTTAGAATATTTCAGGAGTGTTTCTGCATATCAACAGCTAGCTGGACACATCAGAGTGAGAGTAACGGGCTTGTAACAAAAGAATCTTTAGAATATTTCAGGAGTGTTTCTGCATATCAACAGCTAGCTGGACACATCAGAGTGAGAGTAACGGGCTTGTAACAAAAGAATCTTTAGAATATTTCAGGAGTGTTTCTGCATATCAACAGCTAGCTGGACACATCAGAGTGAGAGTAACGGGCTTGTAACAAAAGAATATTTTAACTTTCACGTATTACACCTTGTTTGAAAATGTGCGCTTAATACAAACACAACCATCCTTAATTCTAACAGAGACTAGATTGACGGCAGCTAATCAACAGAACTCTAGACTGAACGAATGGTTTTGTCCAATTATTGATACACCAGCTATAAAACTCCCAATTAATCATAAAGGCAATTATCAAGTTGATGATACGATTATATTGCAAAGACGTAAAACGCCTAATCTGGTGAAACAACGAAACATTTTAGGCCTTGAAAATGATTAAAATCACTCTTCATGGCAGACGTCTTTTATAGTTTAACAGTAATAATAAAACTGTGTACAATGGGTTGAAAGCATAAAACTTTGCAAGGTGTTAGATAGATAGCAATGATAATTTTCAGATAATGCTCCACCTTACTTTCATCCAATATGGCCGCCATATTCGCGTGAGACAAGTAGTTAGAATATAAAGCTGTTCGTTTAAATCACGATTGATTAAACGTTAGAAAACTGCCCATTTGATGTATAATATTTAACTATTCGTTTTATAAAATCAGATCCGATTCCCGTCCAATATTGCTTTTCACTGACCACATTTTCGTATGAATATTTGACAACTGTAATGTTTTTTAAATAAGAAATATATATCATACAGTTTTACATATTTAACGCTATAATATTACTTCGTATTTTTGTTGTTGTACAGCATACAAAAGTAGGACATTACACACCCACACAGTAATAACTCCTGTTCTCTTGATCTCGACGCCTGACATAAAGCAATCAATTAACATCAATGGCGTTTAGAAATATTTTTATTATAAAGTTCAATATCAATAACACATACGCTGAAATAGGTATTATCAAACACGTGTGTGTATTTTCGAGGTGTTGCGTGAAATCTTGTCACGACAATATCAGGGAAGATTGTTGAACCTGGGATTCAACCAGGAAATTCCAAAAGAAGTATTAGGCATAGAATGCCGTATTTGTTTTGTCAGGAAACAACGACAGAAGGTTTTCTTGTGTTGAGATAACACATAAAGCTGTGGTATATAAAAGTATTTACAATAATATATATTGGTCATTGGGTTGTTTGACCGTATCTCTGGACATTGAAAGGTCAGAAGAAGACTTGCAGTTAATCCTCAAGTGGTGGGTAAAGGTGTTACAACCTCAAAGAAGAAAAATAAGTAAAAAAGCTGCAACATGGGGCATATCACGTAAGGTTATGTATTCCCATGATGAAATATCTATCCACGTAAACATCATGTTTCTATATCAATATCTGGTGTTAAGCACATCTCTACACAATGGGCTATCTGTGCTGCGTCCACTACGGTTGTCGAAAGCCTATTTTTAGTGTTATAACCTGTCAGATTTACAGTTGAGCCACTTAGGGGGGTCTCTACATTTGTGATGTATGATCGTTTAATAAAATTTGAGCATCTTTTTCAAGTTTTATTGACAACTCAGTGCAGATGAATAAGATTTTGAAAAGATACTATTTATCATTCTAAATGATTTAGTTTATATATAAAAAAGAGAATTCAGAAAAATCTTATGAGAACCGTATAATGAACAAAGAAACTTCACGATTTGGCAGAGTTAATATTTTACAACAAATAGAACAAGGCAGAAGCTGATGTTGTTCCAGTGGTTAAACGGACAAATATGTTTTATGCTTTTACTCGATGTGATCACGTTTCTTTTTTTTTTTCTAATGATAAATAAAACTGCCTGGGATACTTGGTCTGCTCAAGAAGAGATCTCTTCAGCCTTTAAAGTTGTTCCCCATCAGATGACGATTTTTCCCCCATAATGCCCTGTCGTTTTAATGTACGACAACAGAACAGGCCCGGAAAGGTTGGTCACTTGACGTTATTCCACCTAGTAATGCAACTAGGTGGCGCTTCAAGCTGATTATTGCTAGGGCCAGTTCTGAATGAAAGCACCAGGAATACCGTATTCAAACAGTTGAGGCTGTAAAAGGGTTTAAGTCTTTGAGAACCGTTTTGGACACACCTTCCAAAAGCAGTTAGAGAAAGCCACATCTAATCTCTAGTCATTGTACGTATGGATCCCTGACAAGGACCTTCCTTTCTTTAAGTCCACGTGACTTTTAGTCCTTTTTTTATTTTTTAAGGAGGAGAAACATATACATTGTCATTAACTGGTGCTTGGTTCACGGAATGATTGTCCCCCCCCCCCCACATAATGTAGAAACAAAAGAAATTTACAACGAAGATGGCGTCTTTCTTTTTTCCTTTCGCTGCCTCTTCGTTCGAACATATCGTGTTTTTATTTCAAGCAGCATTCTACAACAATCTTTAAACAACGTGCGAGGCGAAGATAGATCCGTAGATCTCTGATCACCCCTTGTTTTCTTTCAAACCTATAAAACAATCATGATTATTGATTGTAAATGTGTCAGATTGGAATCTGAAAAATAAGAGAAAAGTAAAAAAATTCCAATATAATGTTTTATTGGATAGTGTGTCCCCCGCCCCGTGTCTAAGCTGTAAGTTTGTGGGTTTACATAGCTAAAAATCGGGTTTCGATAACCGCGGTGGGCAGAACACACAAAAACCATTGTATAGCTTTCTGTTTTAACGATAGAAAAGCAAGGCTGACGTTTCAATTGAAAATGACCATTATCCATTACATCATACATAGTTTTATGTTTTCATCCAAAGTTTAAATTATTATCAGCGTATTTGACTGACAGAAAAGATGTCATTATAGGACACTGTCGTTTTCACATCATGCTGTACTCGTAAAAACAAGATGGCGGCGAAATCACTACAATACGCTGTCATTTTTACATAATAAAAATGTACATGTACTAAATTTCTACTAAAGAAGCCCAGAAACGTCCCCCCCTAAATATACAATTTCAACACAATAAGAGGTGTATTAGTAAACTAGCTAAACATTAAGAATAGGCAAAACTTACAAAATAAGTTGATGTTTATAAAAAAAAAAACGTAACAAGACCGACTGACAACTCACAGCTTACCCGATTTCTCTGTTTACTTGAAAATGACACGACTTCAGTGAACACAACGGCTAGAAACCTGGACATGCTCGCGTGGACCTTTCATTAACAAACATTTTATATTACTACCGTACTTCTCATTTTTACGGGTTTTTTTTTCAGCCTTAAACATATATTATTTACTGACAGTTCTTTAATAACTTCACATTAAAACAAATGGGCGTAAAGCTTAATAAATCCTACACTGGTATAAATGTAAATGTTTTTGTTAATGGGGGGAGGGGGAGGGAGAAAAGATTCTACGACTCGCGCTCTCTCATTTATGCTACAATAAAGTGAAATTAGTTTTTCATATTTCCTTTTAGAAAAAAAGGGGGATGTGCTCATTTCTAAACTGTTTATACATATTTAAATATTTACTTGCATTTAATTTTACTTGTTTTAATTATTCATTTACATTTTTTCAGTTTTCAATAACCCATAATTACTTTATCGATATTAAACCAGTTTAAGTAAATTTGTTTAAACAAATCCCAATTTTCACGTCAAACATTACCATATATTGTGTAAACGTAACAAGTTTACAAAATGTTTGTTGCCAGAATTAGGACGTTAAGATCGTATTTATAAAACTGTTTGTACGGTAAGCATTACCACAGTGGAGACTACGTTTGTAGAAGTCGTTCACCCCGGAAAACACATCAAGATTTAACTGGTACTCGCAGAAAATTGAGTTTGTTTATCGTATTAAAACTGTGCCTTTTTTTTTTCTCTCGTGTTCTTAACATTTAACACGTGGCGCTACTCTGATCTTGGTTATCACAACAAATTTCAAGACGAGTATCGAGACATTCCGCTTTGCTGACAAGTACAAGTCTATTAAACTACACTGGATAATGAGAGAATTAATGCTACATTTTATACCGTGCACGTGGTAAATTATATCCCACAGGTATGTTATGATAAGGCACATTAAGTCGAAATTTCTTACAGAGTTGTCAATATTTATCGGGGACAAAAAGAACGATATTCATAATAATAGGTGTAAGTTCATAACCTAAGTTGTAGTTTCGTATTGAGTTTTTCCGGTTAGTCACGATATACGTAATCCATGTACTTATTAAACCAGTTTTTGAAAATATCCGCTATATTTGAAACGCATCTTAGTAAATAATTTCTTGGCTGTTTCTTACTGGTACAACAAACAAAACGGTACCGTATATAACTCAAACGTAGTCTTGCCCAGGAAACCATAATGAAATTTTATTTACAATTCTTCGATCTGCAAAGCAATCCGTTTCTATTTCAGTCAGAAATCTTAAAATAGGTCAATGAAACTAATTCACAACCTAGAGAAACCCTCCTAACAGATACATAAAACAAACCAAGTACACGAGTGTGTAGAGAATACAAACGCCGGTGGGGCCATCTAGTGTAAAGGTTTAACAACTTCAAAAAAAAATTAAAAATAAAAAGTAAATGTTTAAAAGATTATGTATTGCAAATGTCACACACATGAAAACAAATCCGATAAATCGGAATTCCATTTTATCGCAAATTTCAAATATGGTAATCAAATTTTGAAGTCCCCTACACGCTTGGATGGGCAGTTCACAACACACTTAAAAATATTTCACTTAGAAATCTTTTTATTATAGTATATGAACAAATAGTATGGGAAGGAATCTAACTTAGTCCCCACAAGTGATCATATACCCGTACACCCAAACATACACAGTACAACTCAAATATCGAATATATTTCACAAAAAAAAAAATTCTAATTCGGTGTGTTTTGTACAAATGTTGGCTGTGGAATACAAAAAAAAAAACCAGTTCCTAACAGATAAAAAAACCTGAAAGAACCTTGTGTTTTATTATACAAAGAGATTCTACAGAACTAACAAAACTAGACTTGCGGCAATGAGAAAACATTTAACAATTACAAGAGTGCATCCTTATATGGTTAATGCTATGTACACAATTGATGACGTAATGACCATGCACGTACCTGTTAAAATCACAGCACACACTGAAATTGTGACAACAATACACACACACACACACATCCATGCAAAAGGAATCAACAGAAGGAATTAAATACACAGTCCCGTATTGGTGTAGAAGCAGGCCACTGATAAATAGCCCATGTGAACAAACTGGTCTTCTAGATTTATCATAGACGAAACATTCACGGGCAGTGAACACTAAATGTCCCCCCCACAGGTTATTAGTATCATCGTATACAAGACTAAAGATTTCTTTCACAACATAACCTTGTGAGTTTTCCCCCAATCTGTTGTTCTTGAGCTAACTAAGATATTTGACAGAAAATCATTAATACAATTTTCCACACCGTACACAGTAAATTCTATATAATCTGCTCAATGCTTATATTACACAATTTTTTTTTTTTTAGAACACCACCATCACTGCCTAAATACGCTTGTACACCACAGCCACATGCAACATGCTAAAGATAAGTATGTGTTAGAGTAACTATTGCTTTGGTGGATTTCTTAAACGCATTGTGTAGGGAGAAGCCCTCTGCTGCTGCTGTTGTTGTTGTTGTTGTTTAGCTGCTTGAATGGCAGCTTGCACAACCTGAGCCGGAGAACTAAGGGTTGGAGTTACCGAAGTGGTCATAACGTTAGTTCCAGACAGGGACTGGGTAGAAGAAGAAGAACCCTCCTGAACCGTTGTGGTGATGTTCTGTCCTACCCCAGCCTGACCAGCTAGCGCCTGAGCTAAGATCACTGTGGTAGTTGATTGGGAGAGGGTCTTGGCTTGGGGATGAGCCACAGTTCGAAGCTGGACTTGAGGTTGGTTCTGACCAGGCTGGGCTGGTGTGATCACCTGGGATTGGCTAGAGTTTATAGAGGACGGACCAGACTGCTGGACCTGGACTTGAGGTTGGGAGACGGGTGTAGCTCGCACAGCCAAGGTCATGGGCTGTTGGTTTGACACAGTTGTAGAGGATGGCGCCACCTGATGGATGACCGCAGGTGTCTGTTGCTGGCCACTCACAACCACTGCAGGTGTTCCCTTGAGGAGTGCTGCTGTTGCCGTGGTGATAGCAATACTGCCCTGAGTTGTAACATGAGATTTTAAGGCTCCTGCCATCAGTCCAGCTTGAACTCCCGCTGCTAGATTTGGGGCAGCAGAAACAACCTACACAAAAAAAAGATAATTTCATTCCATTACAAATTAAATACCCGAACTACCAAAACTCTTCACAAATTGTAATTTTTTAACCTGGTACAAAGAGAAGGGTAAAACACTAAATACTACAGTGTTTCAGTCTAATGTGGTATACCAGAATACAGATATATTTGGTTACTATCTGGAGTACCCAGGAGACGGAAGTTATGTAAATTCGTGATTAATGAAAGGTTTTATCTTAGGATATGAAATGTTACTTCCCTTACATGTAATTGTAAAAAACGAAACACTCATGAAAACTGCAAAACACAAAATGTGAAACCTCAAATTTGCATGGACCCAAAAACCCTTCGTGCCAAATTTGGTGAAGATCCTTCTCCAGGGGGCAAAGTAGTGGTAAAACACGCCCATAAAAACTGCAAAATTGAAAATTTGTATGTACCTCCACATGAGAGTAATGAACCTCCATACCAATTTTGATGAAGACCCATCCAGACCCTGTGAAGTAGTTACTGGACATACAATAGACAGTACTATTGTATTTATATAGATTTCTAGCTGAAAAACTTATTGTTCAAGATAAGGGCTTATAAAGATTTTGAATTAAGTACTTATAAGTCCAAGTCCTTTAAATAAACACAACGATTGATGGTAAAAAAAGGAAACAAAGTCTGCCATAAAAAAATTATGAATTAATTAAATAATATGTTAGTTTCTTAGACGTTTCATACCTGTATTGCTTGTTTGAAAGCAGGCTGAGGTTGGCCAAGGGGAACGACTCGTGCCTGAACTGTAGTGGCCACTGCTAGAGGGACACTGGTTCCTAATGTAGTGTTACCTATTGAGGACTGTGCAGAAATGGAGCTGACAGACTGTTGTTTGCTGACAGCGGATGTAGTGGATGCCGCCTGTAGAAAAGCATGGGGTAAGAGCTGGGCTTGAGTCCCCACTGCGGTGAAATTTGAAGTACCCCCTGCTGCTACCTGAAATATTATTCACATTCGTAAGGCTAGAGTAAGCCAGTGTCAAAATGATTGTAAAACTTAAGGTAGTTTTACATGTTTTATTCATAATTAACAACTAATAAATGTCTGACTCACAGTTAAAGTTGGGACTCTTAAAGCACCTTAAAAAACCATTTTTAAAGATAAATTTTCATATGTAACTTATCCGATGTCTTCACATAATCGCAATAACTAAAATATCCTAAAATTGTAACTTGTACGGGTTAACATTACAATTTTATTATTAATATTTCTCACTTGCCATTCACTATTAAAATTACTGTATCAGTTTGCTTCAAGATAAATTTTAACACAAGGTGAAATGGTATTTAACAAACTAAAATGAAATGGTCTCCGAGGGCCTAATTTACAGAAGTAGCACACATGGAAAGCGTAATGTTATAAAGCATAAAAGACTTCCTGAAAATGAAGGGGGGGGGGGGTCTTTAAAATCACTGTCCTTTCCATCTGTGCTACTTTCACAGACTTCCACTGCAAGTGTCATGCTGAACTAGGCAGTTGATGACCATTAGCTGTTCCTGGTAAAACCTGCCTAAGTCATCTATGAACAAAATAATAATGATTGAAATGGTATTGTTTTATAAGAAGTTTTCTGGAGAGCTAGTACGGGACTGGTAAACAGAATGATACCCTGTTAACAAAAACTGAAACTATACAAGACCTGATTAATCACTTGCTCAAGCAATGCTTTGGTGGATAGTTGGGTGGCTACACGAGGTGACCCCTGCAGTATCTGAACTGTACTCAACTGAGCAGGAAGAGCTGCTTTACCCTGGACCTGAAAATCACCAAATCACTACATTAAACACATCAAAATTACTTGCTGTTCGTTATAAGCCAGTTTTATGAAGTTTCAACTTATTATTTACTATAACTTGGTATGATTTGTGTTGTGAAGATGTTAATGGTTATATAAATACGAGAGACAATCCAGCACACTTCAAATGATCTGACTATCTAAATGTAAGGAAAATGTGGTCCAGTTGCGTATGAACAATGGAAAAACTGGTGTATTTTGTGTACATAACAAGAAAAATGAACCAACTTCAAAACTCGTATAAAAACTAACAAAATTTCATTAGTTATTTTGATTTGGCCAACACATCTATCATCCTTGGCTAAATAAAGGATAGTATAATCTATGTAATAATACGCTTGTCTGTTACTGAAATGATGTATGTGCATATTTAGGTAGTAAGGTGCATGTATTGAGTATTATTATTATAATAAACTAGCAGAGACCCACAAGACTCAAATTAATGTCTTTATTCCAACAGTACTTCTTTAAATATAGGATTTATAGAATAATATAAATGTCTTCTAATCACAGACACCTAAATGTTGTCATACTATAATTCTGCTGTCGGTATGCCATGTGCAGTAAGAATTTTACTCAGAAAAACAGTGCAAGCGCCTGCCTGCACCAGACAGTTAGAAAGCTCAACAAACAAGCCACTACTTACTATAATTCTGCTGTCGGTATGCCATGTGCAGTAAGGATTTTACTCAGAAAAACAGTGCAAGCGCCTGCCTGCACCAGAGAGTTAGAAAGCTCAACAAACAAGTCACTACTTACTATAATTCTGCTGTCGGTATGCCATGTGCAGTAAGGATTTTACTCAGAAAAACAGTGCAAGCGCCTGCCTGCACCAGAGTTAGAAAGCTCACCAAACAAGTCACTACTTACGATAATTCTGCTGTCGGTATGCCATGTGCAGTAAGAATTTTACTCACAAAAACAATGCAAGCACCTGCCTGCACCAGAGAGTTAGAAAGCTCAACAAACAAGCCACTACTTATTATAATTCTGCTGTCGGTATGCCATGTGCAGTAAGAATTTTACTCACAAAAACAATGCAAGTGCCTGCCTGCACCAGAGAGTTAGAAAGCTCAACAAAGAAGTCACTACAACTGTTCTATGAATGAAGGAATAACAAAAAAAGGTGGATGTAAATATTCTTTATTAACCATTTATAACAATAACATTAAAAGCTTGCAATTTTCAAAAAGGACTGACATTAGGTCCTAGAATAGAATTATACTTTTATTTATAGATAATATTAAGTATAGTATAGTCCTAACTAAGCAAACGTGTAAAATGTACATGGCATTATGTTAATTTATCTCTTTTTTGAACTTGCACTTAACATATTAGCTAAGATTTTATGCTATACGAATTGGTATAACATAAACAAAAAAGTAGTTTAATAAAATTTTGAATGTAAGTCCCTAAATCCTTGTGACATGCTCAGTAAATGATGCCCGAGCAGAGAGGATTAAAGACAAACTGTTGCAACAAAGATACTAATTTGACAGCAAATGTTTTGTGGGTCTCTGCTACTTTTATTAATGCAGGTCTAAGCTATCATACTATTTACCCTAATTATTCAACTACCCACCTCCAATACAAAAAATAACCAAATTAAAGAATAATTTTTATCTATTACTAACAACATCAAAAACATGCTTTAAAAGATCTAATATAATGAAATCTTGACTTTAATCTATTATGAAGGTCTCAGACTATTAAAGTAACCAACCTGAGCAAGAGAAGTAACCTTTTGCTGATGATGAAGGACTTTCCTTTGTTGAGCTTGCTGCAGTGCAAGTTGATGTTGAAGATGAGAGAGTCTCACCTGGTGTTGTGTTGGAGTAACTGATGTCCCCTTAACAACTGAACCTGTGGCTTTTGGCTATTTTACAATAAAACAAAAAAATAGCTAATATATGATGTAGAATTGAAGATTTAGATCAGCGGTTCCCAACCTTTTCACCACCAAGGACCCCATGTTTTCTGAAAGATTACATCTACCCAACAAACTGTTTTTCTTACTAATAATTAACTTGTTTTTCTATTTTTCACTATCAAATAAAAGAACAGCAGAATTAAAAAACTTACTTGTTTAATGAGATGGTATTATCTTCGCAGACCCCCCAGGGGTCCGGGGACCACAGGTTGGGAATCACTGATTTAGATAATGGTAGGATAAATTTTCAAAGAAAAGTACTACATCCTACATCATTATATTTTACAGAAAAATAAAGTAACAGTTCATTTTAAAACTGTAACACATCTAATAAAAAATGATTACAAGTAAGATTTATTTAAGATTAGTTTTCAATATTTTTTAGATGGTTTCCTGAAGTTTTCTTTAGTATTTTGCTCACCTGAGGTAAACTAACATTAATGTTGACCCCTGCTTTTGAGACAGCAGATACTGGGATGGTGACTGCAGATGTAGGAGCTGACACAGTTTTCACCAATGTCGCAACAGGGCTTTGTACTGTCCCCGTTATTGGCTGCTGACCTTGAAGTTGCACTTGAGCCAACAACTGGGCTTGATTCAACTAGAAAATAGAATATCATCGGTCTATTAATACTTCTAAATTAAATCTGACAACATAATGTTAAGTAACCAGCATCCGAGCTGGTTTTTGTTACGAGTTTTGTGTACTAGGCGAGATGCTAAGCTTAATATACTAAAAACACTATGTTAACACAAACCTGGGCTACTGCTTGTTTCTGTATGTGTTGACGCTTCAGCAGTGCCAGATCGGCTTCTGTCATTGTCCGTGCTACCCCTTGCTTCGTTATACCTTGCCTAACACCAGCTTGCTGAGCAGTCCTTTGCTGTGCGGCAGCGGCCGCTGCAGCAACTTGTGCAGTCACATGAGAGGCAAGAGTGACTGCCACCTTTCCTGCCTGAGCAGCCTGAAGCCTCTTCAACTGATGAGCATCCTAAAAATAAAATATATTGTTTTTGAAGTCTTAAAAATAGCATCATTTTCTACAAGAAGAATTATCTGTCCTTGACATAAACAAAGGTTTATTACTATCGGGATTCACCCCGGCCCTTCTTGGCATGTTTGTACCTATACATTTTTATATATTTAACACTCTTCCTTTGACAGGTAATTGTAATTCTGATTTAGTAATACAAGAAAAGTGCCAACACTCAGCAACATGTGCACACTAGCTAACATTATTTCTTTGTATTTTCAGATGTGAACTAGCAAAATTGCTTCACTGGCATGTACAGCTTCAAACGTTAATTGTACTGTTTTATTTATTTTTTCTGGGGAGAACCCCAATTCTCCATCATGAATAGTTTGTTGAAACTTCTAATGATGCATTTATTGTTGTAACCACACAATTCATGTAGTTCATCATGACTGTAGTTTGAGAACCTCTTTCTTAATATCCACAGAAATTAAACATTTTACAATTAAAAAGCTATGAAGTAGTTTTAACAACTGTGTAAAAACACTTTATTGGCACCATCAAGATGCCTTATTATACACCATAAGAGTCTTCTCACTGAACACCACCGAGGTGCCTTGCTGTACAACAAAGAGTCTTCTCATTGAACACCACCGAGGTCCCTTGGTGTACAACAAGGAGTCATCTCAATGATCACCGGCGAGGTCCCTTGGTGTACAACAAGGAGTCATCTCACTGAACACCGGCGAGGTCCGTTGGTGTACAAGAAGGGGTCATCTCAATGAGCACTGCCGAGGTCCCTTGGCGTACACCAAAGAAACATCTCAATGAGCACTGCCGAGGTGCCTTGCCGTACACCAAAGAGTCATCGTAATGACCACTGCCGAGGTGCCTTGCTGTACACCAAAGAGTCATCTCAATGAGCACCGGCGAGGTCCCTTGCTGTACAACAAGGAGTCATCTCAATGAGCACCGGCGAGGTCCCTTGCTGTACAACAAGGAGTCATCTCAATGAGCACCGGCGAGGTCCCTTGCTGTACAACAAGGAGTCATCTCAATGAGCACCGGCGAGGTCCCTTGGTGTACAACAAGGAGTCATCTCAATGATCACCGG